TGATGATTTTTCTGTGGTCCCGTCAGTTTCCAGAAACATAAATAACTCTGGGCTTTTCTGTATTTAATCTTACATCCTTTTTTATTTATTTTTGTAATTTCCCCACCCCTCCCCCCTTCACACAATCTCTACTTCTCCATATCTGGTGTATTTAAAACTGATAGTTCTTTTTCTGTGTTCTGTTTTCTAGGTCATCTCTCCTTAGATCTCTTCTGCAGCCCGAATCTGTACGACTGGATTGGTTGTGCTTGGCAGTTTCTTGTGATGCACCACAAAGAGCAAATACTGTGGATGTGGAAGGGAATCCCAGGTAAAGTGGGGTTCACCCAAGGTCCAGAATGGCAGCAAAAACCTTTAACGGCTCTGCAGGCTTTGGCTTAGGTGTTGTGTGACAGTTTGGATGGCAGTGAATCCTTCGAGCATTTTGCATATTGCAGAGTTCAGCAGAAGCAACCAAAGGATTAAATAACTTTTATGTGTAACGCTTCTCAGACTGCTCTCCTGAGACTACAGTGTTTAATTTGTTTTTCCTTCTCTCTTTTCATATACCTTCATTTCTTGCAGAGAGAACATAATGTTCTGAAGAAAACCATTAATGCTTTAAAACTGAATTTCTCATCTTCTAGGCCGCGATCGCATTTGTTTACTTGGGGCTACAGCCAGCTCATTCTGCTTTTGATTAAACTCCCAGCTGATTTTGTTACAAAAGAGAAGATGGCTGACATCTGTAAATCCCATGGGTAAGAAAACTTGGTAATTCTTAATAATTGGTTAGTTGGTATTCTGATCCCAGAAAGATACAAATGAAAACCACCCATCTGCTCCTTACTTGGAGAGGTTTTGTTTAAAAGAAACTCCCCTGTTTTGAGGATGGATACTGAGCGCCCAGTGTAATGTACCAAATACCCCTTTGGCTGCGGGGTATTCCCCGTGTCCCTGCTCTGCAGTGATTTCTGGCATTCAAGAAATTCCGTTGCTTCTGTCTTCACTGATATTTAAGTGAGCATTTAATTACTGTTGACTTTAGTTTAGACTGAGTATTTGATTCCTGGAAATCTTTACTCTCTTATTCAAGATTTTGGCCTGGATATCTTTTTCTCTGTCTGGAGCTGGATAGAAGAATAGAAGCCTTTACTAATATTGCTCACTTGGATGATTTGAGCCTGTTGAATGGAGAAGATGGTTAGTGAGTCTTAAGCTGTGTAAACATACTTCTGTAATACAGGAACTGCTCTTAATTATATTTTGTCAAAGGTTGAGTTGCACTTTTATTTTTTAAGTGTTTTGGTAGCACTGACTGTGTAGTGCAGCATATTCGAAACACATAAATGGGTGTTACACTCTTGTATCTTCACACTGTGCTCTCTGAAATCAGTTGTGCTAGAAAATGTTTAGAAGTTCAAGAATGTAGAGTTGTTTATCCATTGGGAGTAAAAGTTAAACTCGGTGTTGCAGATAAAGGAATAGCTAACCTCCTTGTGCAGCACAGAACTCCCCCTGCTACACGTGCACGCTCACAAAGTTACGATGAGCAAAGCCTTGTATCGTGTGGCAGAACTTCGAAGAAAATTTCCATTAGGCCTAAGATGGATGAAACAGTTCTTTGTCACTTCACTCAGTTCAGTATTTAAGGCTTTGGATTACTGTGAAGCTTTGTCTGTAGTTCTCCACTGAATCTTTACACTGAGTCAGTCAAGGCAGTACGCTTCTGTACACAGTTTCCTTGTTGATAACGCTTGGTTTTCTTAAATCTTCCCAGAGAAAAAGCAAAGAGCTAGATTCCCTTTTAAGTACAGCTATATTTAAAATAGTAGGCTTAGAATAATCCTTGTTTTACAAATAATGTAACAAACTAATTTTATATCTAGGTTCCATTCCAGAGACCATGGAAGAATGGAAGTTTCTTCTGCATCTTGCACAGAATCACAGCACAGCTTCCCACCATGGCCCACAGAACGGGAATGCTGTCAGCAACGGTAGCCCGAGCTGCCCAGACTGCGTCACTGTGGAGAACGTAGCTCTCCTGCTGGCAAAGACCATTGGCCCAAATCGTGCCTTGCCTCTCTTGCAGGAGTGTGGCTTGACCCTAGAATTGTCTGAGAGATTTACTGCTGTCTGTGAGATCCTGAGGATTGCTGAGAAAAGGCAAAGGTAAGATGACATGTCAACAGAAGATCCATGTATGCACCCTGTTCATTTTGGATCTTCTTGGTGCTTTAAACTTTCTTTTCTTTTAACAAAAATATAAAATACTTCACTTTTTAATCTCAGATTCTAAACTCAGCTGAAAGCTTTTCTGTTATTTAAGAGCTATATATTGTGCAATGTAGCCACTTTAGAATGGAGAAGGAGGAAACAGAAAAACATACATGAAAGATGTATGTGAAGGAGATCCTCTGAAGGAGATCTGTCTTGCTGAGTCCTGCACAGACTCTGATCTCACCTATACCTTCCAGAGAAGGCATGCATGATGTTGTCATGATGTTACTTCTGAAATACAATCATATTTTTTACAAACTTTTCTTAAAAAGCAAGCCAAAATGCTGGTTTTCTTTGTTATTAACTTTTTTTACTGTTTAATTTTTTTTTTTCCCCTTTGCTTTAATTGCAGAGCGCTGATTCAGTCCATGTTGGAAAGGTGTGACCGGTTTTTGTGGTCTCAGCAAGCATAGAAAACAACTCTGACAACTTTGGGAACATTTTTTACTGTAATGATTGTATATTAAAGTGCCTTTTAAACTTAACAGGCTCTTAAAGAAATGAACTCCTGTCTAAAAGTTCAGTTATGTTGAGCCAGTCTCCATCTGGCAGGTATCTAACAGGGAACTGTTGATGCTTCTTCCTTATTCCTTTGGAGATGAATTTTGAACTCTAGAACTTAAATCAGAACAGTCCAGTATTTGTCTTTGAATTAAGCTCACAGACTTCTGAGATTAAAATTCCTGATTTTATTTTCCAAGTATGTATGAATTAAGTGTTAAGGATATGAGCTCCTTAGTATTAAATTATGGTGTATAAAGTTTTTTGTTTGTTTGCAAACATGAGAAGCCATTCTGTGGAAATATTTAAGCCCATACTTGTTTAATTTTCCTATAAATGACATTGACTTTTTCAAGTTACTGTAGAAGTGCTTGTTATGTTACTTTTTTTCCTCTTAAATTATATGGACTGGTCTTGCCCATTTGAAATGCATTAATTGGGCACAGTCTTAAACTGGGAGGGAAATATTTTTCAGGAGTGGATTATGGTTAACAATGCTGATTAACAGAAGAACTTGTTAAATGAACTCTCTGTTAAACTCTAAGCATGATATTTCTAAATTGCCCTTATGTATTTGTGCAATGTGACTATAGACATCAGTTGTGGTATTTCAACAAACCTCAGGACAGTGGAATTAGAATCATAGAATCATTTTGGTTGGGAAAGACCCTTAAGATCATTGAGTCCAAGCATTAACCTAACACTGTCAAGTCTACCACTAAACCATGTCCCTAAGTGCCACATCTACACCTCTTTTAAATACCTCCAGGGGTGGTGACTCCCTGGGCAGCCTGGTCCAGTGTTTGATAACTGATAAGGTGAATAAATTTTTCCTAATGTCCAATATAAACCTCCCCTTGAGCAACTTGAGGCCATTTCCTCTCTTCCTATCGCTTGTTACTTGGGAGAAGAGACCGAGATCCACCTCTCTCCGCTCTCCTTTGAGGGAGTTGGACAGAGCCAGAAGGTCTCCCCTCAGCCTTCTTTTCTCCAGGCTCAACAACCCCAGTTCCCTCAGCTGCTCCTCATAGGACTTGTTCTCTAGATCTTTCACCAGCTGGTAGTGCTGCAAAGTAATGCTTTTATTTTCATCAAAACAGGACTCAGTAATACAACATCCATACTTTTGGGAGGTGCAGTCTGACTGTTTCATCTCAATTGCAAGAAAGGCTTTATTGTGGAGAGTTGGTTACTTCACTAGAGGAAACAGTTACAGAGAGACAATTAGTGGTAGGCTTTCATCTTTTAATAGTCTTGCTTGTGGAAAAAACAATACAGAACTACCTCTAAAAAGAAGAAACACCCCATGCTCTTACACTAAGACTTGGAACAGGAGCCAGGCACCTGCAGTGTGCAGTGAGGTTACACAAATAAGGTGATGTTGGTGCCTGTTCTCTTACCTGCCAAATGAGCGTGCTGCTGCCTGGGTGGCTGCGCTTAACTAGCTCTGGTTCATGTATGAATGTGGCACAGCTTTAGCTGAGTACTTGTGCTGCTCTCCTTAGAGGAAGTTGGCTGGCTTTCCAGGAATGTTCCTGGCTTACCTCTGTGTCTAATGGTTCCACTTTATTTGCTCTGTGTATTTTGTGTACACAGCAGCCTCTTTCTTACTTCTGTGTGGTTCTTGTACACTTGGTTGACTCTAAGTGTTTATGATTTCAACTAACTTGGCTGACAATAAAGAGTAAGAATTTACTCTCTGAAGAAGATTTGGAAAGTCACTGTTTCCTGTTCATGTGTTTTCATCTCATGGGTAAGGTGAAGGGACTGTGAAATGAAATAGTCTTCTGTTTAGAAGATACAGTTGTACAGAGCAGTGCCCCCATCCTCGAGCTACAGCCCCTACCAGCTCTACATACACCACTCATAGTTTAAGCCAGCCTGCACTGGAGCAGATGAGCTGCAGCTCATCTTTGGTTTTGGTGACTGACTGTTGGTAGAAGGGACCCTTGAAAAGCAGAGATGAATACGGGGGGCTTTGCCCAGAGCAACTTTAAATAGAAGCTGTGCTGGTTTTATTGTTGATGTTTGGTTTATTTTCCAAAAAAAAAAAACCCCCAAAACCAACCTATAAAAGCCTCATCCCTGCCTCAAAACATTATTTCACTGTTAGAATCATCATCAAAATCAGTTTCATTTAAGATAAACTTCTGCATATGCAGTCTGTTTCTTGAAGAGGGGTCAAGTTTGCAGTTACTCTACATATCTATAACCCTGAGGCTAGTGCTAGTAACGATTCCATGCAGCAGCACGGCAAAACTCCAGCAGTGAATATCGCCCATGTAAACTTAGATAAGGTGCTGTTACTTCCCAGAACAGGGAATAACTGCATCTATTACTGTGCCTGAGCTGGGAATTCACCTCATCCCCTTTCTCAATCAGAGACCTACTGAGATTGCAAAATACTCACATTGCAGAATGTTTGCAGAATGTAGCTTGTATTTATAGATATTTAGAATTAAAGGACAAACACTTTGAGGTCAGAACATACAAACCCAGAAAACAGTCTTCCAGGGTCCCCTATATGTGTAACATTTGCCCAGCGTGTACGCGCAGCCTGTGTTTTAGTGCCAGGCCAGAAAGAAATACTCCATTCAAACCCTTCTGCGTGCTCAGAGGCAATTTGCCTGTTCCTGTTGCAAAAGCAACAATTCTGTCTGCAGCTTGTTTCTGTGGGCCAAGGGCTGTGACCCAGAAAGCAGGCCAAGAGGATACAGGAAAGCACAAAGCCAGGGCTTTATCTCAGTTACTGTAGGGAGCTCCAGCATTGTTGTCACTGCTGCAGCCCTCATTGTTGGAGACAAATCAAGAGTATGGAATCTGAGATCTTCTAAAGATCCCCTCCAGCACCTTCCTTCTTGCAATTATCCTCATGTTTGTGCTCCTTGCAGAAAATTTTGGTTTGGAGAGAATGCGAAGCACATCAGACCACATCGGAAGACTCAGAAATATTCTCTATGGTCCAAAATGTCTGAGCTCTTGCAGGGAAAAGTTCCTGAAGTCAGTTTTGAAGGCAAGCTCTGTTCTAGGTCCCTGGGTAAAATGGCACATACATTAGTGAGCCTGTACCCCAACTTACATGAATAATTTTCCAGTTTTTTGTTTTTGTTTTTTTTTAATCAAAACCAAAAAGGTGACAGACAGGGCTACTCACGGCCAGCAGAGAAGGCACTTGAGCTGATGTGTACTGTAAGGGCGTAAGTCAGAGTTGCAGCAAAACTCCAGTCTCTGTAGTAACTGAGCTGTTACACTCTGAAGCATCCAGTTCACAGGCAGCAGGGGACAAAATTCTGTGTCTGCCCTCCTGCTTTTTGCAAGGTTTCCTTGTCCGTTGGGTTAGGGTTTAGATTCTTGGTTTATATTGTTCAGAGGTACAGTGTACTAGAGAATATCTGTCCTGCTGCTCCAGGCCTATCTGTGGAAAATCTCTCTTCTTCCCTTAAGCTAAATCCTTGTGCAGTGATGCCCAAGGAGGTTAGCTGCTGGCACTTCATTAGCTCAGTTTGATGTTGCACCCCTTTCACCTCATGCCTCTGCCCCTCAGCGCCAGCAGCTTCTTGTTTAAAGTGACAGAGTTGTGAACGGGGCAACTGCAGAGAATTTAAATAAGCTCTCTTAGATTTATTAACTGGTGTATGAGACCACACAATGGGGAGACATTCTGTACATTGATTCTACAGTGCAGCTGCACCCAAACCCAGAGCTTTCTGCAGGGGAAACACTTGTGTCAGTTGTTAAACAAGAGAAGCAGAAGCAGCAAGCAGGCTCCTAAGCAGAGAGAGCAGTGGGTATTCAAACTGTGAACTGTGCTAGTAGGGCCTGACAGTTAATATATTGATCTTAAAATCTAGCAGAGTTGTGGCTGTATGGATCTGAACTTCCCCTTAGGTAAAGTGTTCACTGCTGCATCAAAAACTCTCCTTAGTTTAGCCCACTTGAGCTGCTGTTGCAGCAGAGTGGCTGGAAGTGCCTCGAGGAGGATCTGTGAGAGCAAGCAAAGCAGGACGAACTGTTCAGGCCTTCCTTACTGGGAGCGTGTACGCTATCTTAAAGCATTCTCAGTGGGGATGTTGAGAGCAACACTTCACATTTTCCATTCCAGCAACTCTGGGATCCATCTTGTCATCCCTGCACACACGGGAATTCCATGTAGCAGTTCCTGCAGCCATTCTGGTAATGCAGGTGACCCTTCCTTGTGTACAGACCCAGACCAACCTTGTGCTTCAACACACAGTGCAGACAATCGGGCACCTTCTCTGCTGGGCTCTGTCAAGCACAAGAGACAAACAATAGTGTCACGCTTAAGCCAACTGTAACACTTCAAGCACACAGAACGCTTCAGTCTTTGAGGCAGTTTCTCTGCCTGCTTGTTATAAGGAGCAATAGTCCCATGGACAGCTGAAGAAGCACCACATACTTTGTAAAAAATTGTGTAACAGGAGCTATGAACTTTCAGTAAGGACAAGGACAAGCTTACCGTAATGATTTCTGTGCTGGAAGTGGAAAGGTGGTGGGGAATTCCCACAATCCTTTCCAATTTCCTCTTTTGAGGGGTCTGAATCGCTTATAAATACCCTCTCTGATCTGAGAGCACACAGGACAAGTTCCATCTCCTCTGGCTTTGCCTTTCTGCAGTGGTGAGTGATACTCTGTGAGCTCTGTGCTGTGTTTTTAGCTGGTGTTCAGGAACAGGACTGCTGCTTTAGCATGTGGGGCTTCTCTGTACTTATGATGGGAGCAGCAGGGAATGATAAAATGCAAGTTTCTCATGTCCCTCTGCCTCTTTTACAGACACCTTAACTGAGCTTTGGTTGCACAGAGGACATCAGTCCTTGTGGGGGGAGAAGTGGGTTCCAGGGCTCACCACCAGCGCTGGGACAGCTGCCTGGGCACAGCGATGGGTGTGATGAGTGCTATGGCAGCAGTCTCTCAAAGGTGCTCCAGAGCTGCTCATCTCTCTGATTGTCTCACAGCTCCGTGGCAGGCTTGTGCTGGGAACCATGAGGCTCTGTGTCTGCCTCGTGTTGCTCTCCTTTGTCCTGTGTGCGAGTGCTCAGTTGTCATCGATAACCGAAGGCGGTCGGTTTGTCTGGGATGCAGTGGGAGGTAAGCTGCTCTTACCACGGGCCTGTCTCTCAGAAACCCCCTCTCTGAGCACAGGTTACCAGCAGTTAATGGACACAGCCCTCAGAGCTGGGAGGTCCACAGCTCCACGTGAGGGACTCCACTGGTTTCTGCTGCTGGAAGAGGACCTTTATCCGCCCCCGCAGACCCTTTCCGTGGGCACAGCCCTGTGCAAAGGCCAATGTGAAGTGCCTCTCTGTGTTACTGCTCCTTGGGCCTTTCAGCTCCTGCCTGAAATGATACTTAACTGTTTCTGGGATGACTCTTTAAAACCAACATCATCTCTGTTTCTCTGCTTTCTCCAGGGGCATGGGATATGTTCAGAGCCTACCAGGACATGCGTGAGGCAAATTATAGAGACTCCGACAAATATTTCCATGCTCGTGGGAATTACGATGCCGCCCAAAGAGGACCAGGTGGTGCTTGGGCAGCCAAAGTGATCAGGTAATGGAGCATATTTGGGTTGTTACCAGGGAGTTACTGGGGGTGCAGGCATTCTGGTTAGTGAAGTCTTTCTTGACTTGTACTCAGCTTTTGACCTGGAAGGACAGTGGAGGGGAAGCAGTTACTGTCTGAACTGTGTGTCTCTATAGGGGTGGTGTCTCTCCTCCACCATGAGCATGAGCCTTTCTCCTTGTCCTCCCCAGGAGGCAGAATCCCTACTGGTGCATTTCTGGTCATGGGGAACTCGCTGTCCTTGCTGGTTCCTTCCCTGACATACCAGTTAGGGATTCCGCTCTGGTCCTTGGGCAAGGACTGAGAACGTGCTTCCACCTCACGCTGAGGAGCCCTGTGGAAAGGCTCGCTGTACCCGAGCGAGCAGCCCACACACAGTGGAGTTAATGCCGGTTGGTTCAGGTGCCTTTTTCCTTCCCGCTAGCGATGCCCGGGAAAAATGGCAGAGCGACGTGAGCGGCAGAGGGGCGGAGGACACCCGGGCTGACCAGGAGGCGAACGCCTGGGGCAGAAGCGGCGGCGACCCCAACCGCTACC